ACGCTGGCGTACGCTAGCGGCACGCTAGCGTACGCTAGCGTGCCGCTAGCGTACGCCAGCGTGCCGCTGGTGACGCTGGTGAAGCTAGATCGATATGCATCCTCTCTTCGGCACTGCCGCTGGCGTACGCTGGAAGCGCTACGCTACGCTGCCGCAAAGTATAAACGCAGCCTAATTTCCTAATCGCTGGCGCTGCCATACGCTAGAAACGCTGACGTGAACGCAACCTAAGGCTGCCGCCAATGGTGTCAGAGCTAACCTAATACCAATCATACGATTTTGGGACGGGATTGGCCTGCAGTTTCAAGAGCCACTGAAGCAGCTCTAATGTAAGGGAAGGGGGGTAATGTCAGATGGTCTGAAATGGCAAAATGAACGTTCAAAAGAAGTATGAAACTGTGAGAGATTAGGGGTGAACGTCCATCGAACTAATCTCCATGGCTGCTGCTTGAAAAACAAGTCAGAACTTCGGATATTGCCAAAAATCTGGGCCCTAGGTGTACCCCCTGAGTACGTAAACCATGTCGGTTGTCGCGAAAATTCTTATTGGCTGCGCTCTGGACATTACGAAAGCCCGCTTGTGGATCATGTGGTGTCCAGACATGCTACGAACTGATCACAGACACTTTCCATGCGACTAGGGGAGCAATGATGCTGCATTGGCAAGTAGAGAACCACGACCCAGATTCGAACCGGCCTCTTGCGTATGGAGCGTGACCGCTATCGCTACGCCATTTCACAGTGACTCCTGTACATGAGCATGTCAAACACCCTGGAGGGAAAATATTTGAATTATCGTTCGACCGATACGGAGAAAGGCCTCCGAAGCTTGGTGCGTCCTAATACGTAGGACTCATCCCACGTCCGCTTCGACGTGGGACTCCCCTTGTCAGTTTTCAAACTTTTGAAACAGAGTATCGGTCAATGTTGGCTCGATCCATATATCGCAAGTCTTTCTGGGATTCAGGGTTTTGTTGACTCGTTTTTAGTGCAGGATCTGTGTATCACCTAAAGTCTCCTGAGACTCCTGTCATGATGGCTATTTTTGAACCCAGTGTAAACCTCTAGTCCCACCTATCTGGCACCAATTTGGCAGCGCGCGGCCATTTCCCATTTTGCATTCTGCGGTCGAGGCTCGAGTATCGCATTCGTAGCCAATGAACGTAAAAAAAGTCCAGTAATGAGAGATGTTTTCAGTGCCTTATCAAATTGAATCGGCCGGAGGATATTGGCAGACTTCTCGATAGACTCATGTCTCATGCGGTAGGGTTCGACGTCTTCATTCAGACTGTTCTTCATTTAATGTGATTCTTTTCAGAATGGTGATCTAATCGCGTATCAAATAGCCTTCGACCTATATGAGAATGCTTCTCAGCAATTCAACACACAAGTTTTGAATACTTATGCGAGCTTTCACCAGCCATCCCCAAGGTTCGATTTCCAGCACTTTTACAGCAGCGCGAAGGTTTCTTCGAGATTAGGATTGCTTTCCCTACTATTCACTATGTGCAGTAGTCGATATTTTAAGTACTCCCACGGCGAAGCAAGAACAAGAACCTGCTCCGACTGGTGAGGCTCCCAAAGCGGAGAAAGAGAAAGAGGCATCACCGAAACCAGAGGAGGTTTGGTTTGATGCACTGGATACCTTTTTTGCTTTATAATGAGCATACTTTCCACAAGTCTTCTGCATTCATTTTCAGTCCTGCCATTTAGAAAAAAATCCGAATCATATCGATGTTTGTAGGCAAAGGAAAGCATAGACGTAATTAATGGTAATCGTTTTTCAGTCCGCTCCAATGGCTCGCCTTAAGGCGATTTTACGCGGAGAAGAAACTGTGAAGCATCACATGCAGTTCCTCATCAAAAATAACCACACGGACATGTTGATTCTGAAGGTTAAATTTTTCGATTTTTTTTCATAGTCTGGCTACATAGCCTGGGTTGGTCCTTGTGCTTTCCTTAAGTATCGACTCTTGTTGCTTATTAATATGGTCAGTCTCATAACAGGAAATGAAAGACTGTGTGAGGACGGCTACCGCGCACAACGCTACTTTGATGTCAAATGGTCTTATGCATCTTGGAACTACCTGTGATGATTTCTTGCGGTATGAAATCAGTACTGCGAGAAGTTTTGTTCATATATTGTTGGCTGTATTGTTCGCTTTCAGAGATAACCTCGATTGGATTAGCAAGGCTACAAATTGGAATAAATTCAATGCTGTAGCCACTCTAGGACTTATTCATAAGGTGAAATTATTGTGATTCATGAGTCCCTCATTCTATACTCTTCATGAAATCAACCATCAACTTGTTTTCCATTTCTATCATTCCCATACTGCAGGGTCATGAATCAGCAGCGATGAAGCTACTTGATCCGTATCTTCCAAAAACGGAGCCTGACCAGTACGGGTTCAAGGAAGGCGGTTCACTATTTGCTCTAGGTATGGTAATGGCTTTTTTCTGCTAGTATATTTTTCAATATCAGTCTGATGGAATTATAACAGCGAGAGGATGTCTATATCCGGTATTTTCTCGCAAAAAATAGCGTCCACTTTTACTTTCGAATAGCGTTTGAGGATCACCGTTGCTTAAAAATTTACTGATATTCTAGCTTACCGCTCAACTATTACTCTTTTTTTCTTCCCCATCATTTTCTAATTTTTTTAGGTCTTATTCATGCAAATCACGGGACTCCAGACTGTGTAAAGTACCTTCGAGAGCAGCTATCGGCCGCACAGACGTCAGCAGTTCGTCATGGAGCATGTCTGGGACTAGGACTTGCTGCAATGGGAACACAAAATCAGGATGTGAGCTATAATCACCTATAGCATGGGCGCATGTTATCACTGACATTGCAGGTATATCTGCAACTTCGTGACGCCCTTTATTTGGATGATGCTGTCTCGGGAGAAGCAGCAGGTCTTGCGATGGGCTTGGTGATGGTTGGCAGTTTGAACTCTGCAGCATTCCAAGACATGGTGCAATATACTTGTGACACCCAACACGATAAGATTCAACGTGGACTACGTACAGGAATCTCCTTGTTGGCCTATGGTAAGTCCACCACTTGCTGACGCGTTCCCGTACACTTGGTGTTACAGAGATTGCGAGAATCCCCTCATTAGTAGTTTCTAGTGTCGCAGCACTGCTAGAGCAGTCAGAAATTCAGGCGCTAATTGGTTTTCTGAAAGCTTCTGTGCGTAATATGCTTAATTTCATGGGAATGAAGAGATTCTCTCCTTACTGCATCTGAGCAATATTAAAGTGTTGGAAATCCAAATGTTGGTCTGTGGACGAGTTGGACGGGCATGCATCTCTGTAGCTACAACACTTGAATGACAATATTTACTATATATAGTAGGATTGTTCAAATGCTGAATCAAATATCCGATGCGAATATCACAATAAAGAGGGAGCATGTTGATTCAAAAAGTTTCATGTGGGTAAGTTCATCGTTGAAAAGAAGTCGTTTTCGGGTGTCTGTCCGTCCAATATCGACTCTTCGACAAGCTGTTGCCCACCCCTCGTTCACTGATGACGAGAATCGCTCATAGGCTAAATCATGCGAGAATGCAGGAGTGGAGTGGAGTACACCGCCTATCTCAAGCATGGCTCGCCCATTTTGAGGATGTTCCCCCATTTCATCCACTATTCCCTTGATGACCTCTATCCGCTTTTTCCCAGTGCCTGTGCTGCTCAGCAACCGATCCCCAAACTCTTAGTTTTGCCTCGCCAACCGCGCATGCTCCGCCCACGAAGAGCCTCCCTCTCATTTCAGTAGCCGCTCTCCTGCACGCTGCCATTTTCTCACGTTCTCTTGGGTGCTTATTAGCCAATTAACGAATTTTGAGCATTAGTCCTGCCCATTATTCTGCCCGCTCTGCTTACCCCGGATGTGGCTCTTCCACATCATTCCCCTACCCACTGCTCACTTTCATTCACTTTTCCTGGTCTCGAAGCTGTTGTAAGGTTAGATATACCAATTTGGGAGCCGCCGCCTCGCGCCTACCCAGCGAGGCCCCTACGTTTCCGCCGCTTTCCCATGTGTAATGTGTCTCACATTTCACAACTTAGTGACCTCGCTGTTTTAACCGCGCATTTGTGATGCGGACGTGCTCTGGGACCGTTTCACAGATATTTCGTCTGGCTCCGCCCGTCTTGGAGCAGGCCCCACTCGCAACGTGTGTGTCCTACACTTCTCAACCAGTGGCCTCGCTGATCTCAACCCATGTGGGAGTGCTCTGGGACGTTATTAGCAGATTTTTTTTTCGCTGACTGGACAAAGCCTGATAGCAGTCTCCTTTCAAACTACGGCATGTGAGTGATAATGGCTGCCCGCGTCGAAGTTGTATACGCAATATTAAGCTAGCTTGTTGTAGTCATCTATCACCTTACCGACGAATGGTGTTTTGTCACTCTGGAAGTACAAACGACTGCCTGAGTGTACACTCGAAATCTCTGAGATGGACGAGCGTCCGAGCCTCGACTGATATTAAAGTTGCAGCGTGGCAGCGGCTGAGTCTTTTAGTGAGAATTTCATTTTGATCACTGCTCTGATCTAGGCGAAAGAACAAGTATGAGAGTTGCTTCAAATTGAAATCTCAAGAGGAACCCATTCTATGCTATGCTCAGATGCCACGCCTACTCTGTCTGAGGCGTAAGAAATGTAGTATTGTCATTGTTTCAAAATCACGTCTTTCTTTTCCCTGAAGCAAACCTTTGCCCAAAATCTGATAAAGAGTTTATCTGTCAGTGTTGCGCGAGGAGTTTTTATGCGGCAGTATCTCGTCCGTAGTGGTTAACTGGCTATCAGGCAATTACTTTTTTCGGTAAATTGTGCCTGCAGTTGCCTTTTGGTTTTTGGTACTGCAGAACCTCTTTTCAGGACGACAAGATGAGGCCGAATCTTACATAGCCCAATTGATTGATGTCAAGAGCAATGCGATGTTACGGTCCACAGGAATAGCGATGATGTCAATGGCCTACGTTGGAAGTGGACGTGCAAATGTTGTTTCAAGACTTTTAGGAAAAGGTAGTAGAGCTTCGCAGGCAAATTTGTGCCAATCTTCTAAAAATCGGGTTTTAATAGGTTACGGTTCAGTACCCATTTCAATATTTTCCAAAGCGTCATTAGATTGATTATGGCATCCAATAAGTTCATGTTCGATCGACGCTTTTTACTCGGAGTAAGCTACTGCTCCCGCTCACCTCTTCATGGGCATTCGAGAGAGAGAGTGAGAGAGATATTAGTGTGAGCAACAAGTGGGTAAAAAAAACTTGGAAGGTTGCAGCAGTGGGAATAAATGGCTAGTGAGGATTCTAGAGTTTCTGTTCTTGTTCACCCATCGTCACTCTAATCCGTCTTACTAACCGTTGCCGGAAGCTCTAAGTAGTGTAGCGGCTTGATAGCAATGGAAATATAGTGAAGAAGCATGTGTTAGTGTTGGAATCCGGGGTGGCAGTGTACCGGGTGTTCTGGCTGGCGTTTCGGAATTTGGATTTACAGTCCTAGGACCGTTACATTTTTCGTGAACAGCTCTACTGGGTGCTATATATGACTGCCAGCTGGGTAGTCTTCAATTGGATAACAGTTTCAATCTTGCTATCACCCTTTTATTAAACTACCAGTCGGATCGCCCGGCTGACGCCGAGCTCTCCTCCTTCTTTTTAGCTCGGCTTCGCCGAGCTGGCCTGGCTTCGCCAGGCGCGCATCATAACGGGATGGAATTTGTGAATTGCATGAGCTGCTCAAATTGCGCAGTAGTGGTTGAATCATAATAGACAGAGTAACCTAGCGAAATCTGCACCCCTCATATACATCAGGCATACTCAAAAACAATATCTCACAAACTACTTCGTTATTCGTTCTCATCAGTGATTAAAAGTTGAAAAGCAAAAAAGAAGTTAAATACTCACTGAACGCATAAAGTGTGTTCCAATATTGAAGTTTTTGATTTTTCCAAACTTCCTGTTTCAGGCGAAGTATATACCCCCCTAGTGGGATGAGTACATTTTTTAGTGCTATCAAAGGAGTGATGGCTGTGGGAAAATTTTGCTTACTGAGAGGCTTTTTTTGGCAGTATAGTGGTCAGAGATGTCGTGAGAATGTCCCCTTATCTTTACTTATCAACTGATAAAATTGCTTGTCACCCGTCATCAATGTCGTTATAACTAAAACTCCATAATTTCGTGGTGAAGAGGCTTCAGCTTTTGACTGAGCAACAACTGCATCGTTCTCTATCAGACCCTATCAGTTATCATTTCCTGTCACCCGCCGTCGCCTTCTCCACCTTCCCCTTGATATCATTTGCTGAAATCAACGCCTAACTGATGCTGTGTACCGCGTTATGAGTATGTTGTCCTTTCCACTTCTAACGGAATCCCGTTTATCAGCCAGCAAAATTCTTGTCCCCACAGGTTCTTTCGTGCCATAACCTATATCATATCTTGAAAAACGCCGCAGTGTTCCAGTCGGACCGTCCCTCTGCTTCCTTCTCTTGCGCATGCTCAGATCGGGCTGAGCACGCGCAGGGGAAGGAAGCAGAGGGGGGGGGGCAGTGCCCCCCCCCCTCTCTCGGCCCCACCCCACCCTGCCCCCGCACGAGCACACGTCCAGCTGCCACGCCAGCAGCTCGTGCAATGGCTCGGAGCTCACCGAATGGTTGTCTTATATAGCGGAGGCCGATATCACGATCAAAACATTGGATTGATACTTCCGCACCGAATTGCCTGTTTGCCTAGCGGTCGTTTTCGCCTCCAGCGAACTCGAACCCGTGAAGCATTTTGCGGACGGACAAACATACATACTTACATACAGACCGACAAACCGACACACAAAGTTTCTGCTTTATAGAATAGAAGGATAGTGGGATGAGTACATTTTTTAGTGCTATCAAAGGAGTGATGGCTGTGGGAAAATTTTGCTTACTGAGAGGCTTTTTTTGGCAGTATAGTGGACAGAGATGTCGTGAGAATGTCCCCTAATCTTTACCTATCAACTGATAAAATTGCTTGTCACCCGTCATCAATGTCGTATATTACACTAAAAACTCCATAATTTCGTGGTGAAGAGGCTTCAGCTTTTGACTGAGCAACAACTGCATCGTTCTCTATCAGACCCTATCAGTTATCATTTCCTGTCACCCGCGTCGCCTTCTCCACCTTCCCCTGATACATTTGCTGGATAATCACACGGCCTAACTTGATGCTGTGTACCGCACGTTATGGAGTATGTTTGTGCTGTTCACTCTAATCCCTTATCAGCTAGCAAATCTTGTCACCCACAGGTTCCTGTGCCATAACCTATATCATATCTTGAAAAAACGCCGCAGTGTTCCAGTCGGACCGTCCCTCTGCTTCCTTCTCTTGCGCATGCTCAGATCGGGCTGAGCACGCGCAGGGGAAGGAAGCAGAGGGGGGGGGGGGCAGTGCCCCCCCCCCCCCTCTCTCGGCCCCACCCCACCCTGCCCCCGCACGAGCACACGTCCAGCTGCCACGCCAGCAGCTCGTGCAATGGCTCGGAGCTCACCGAATGGTTGTCTTATATAGCGGAGGCCGATATCACGATCAAAACATTGGATTGATACTTCCGCACCGAATTGCCTGTTTGCCTAGCGGTCGTTTTCGCCTCCAGCGAACTCGAACCCGTGAAGCATTTTGCGGACGGACAAACATACATACTTACATACAGACCGACAAACCGACACACAAAGTTTCTGCTTTATAGAATAGAAGGATAGTGGGATGAGTACATTTTTTAGTGCTATCAAAGGAGTGATGGCTGTGGGAAAATTTTGCTTACTGAGAGGCTTTTTTTGGCAGTATAGTGGTCAGAGATGTCGTGAGAATGTCCCCTTATCTTTACTTATCAACTGATAAAATTGCTTGTCACCCGTCATCAATGTCGTTATAACTAAACTCTCATAATTTCGTGGTGAACTCATAATCAAGCCGCCTTGGCGGAAGGTGAGAGAGGCTTCAGCATTTGACTGAGCAACAACTGCATCGTTCTTCTATCAGACCCTATCAGTTATCATTTCCTGTCACCCGCCGTCGCCTTCTCCACCTTCCCCTTGATATCATTTGCTGAAATCAACGCCTAACTGATGCTGTGTACCGCGTTATGAGTATGTTGTGCTTTCCACTCTAACTCCCTTTATCAGCAGGAAAATCTTTGTTGTCACCACAGCGTTCCGTGTGCATCAACCTATACTCATATCTTTGAAAAAACGGCCGCAGTTTTCCAGTCGACCGTCTCGCCTTCCTGTTCTTCTTTGCGCATGCTCACGATCGGGGCTGAGCACGCCGCAGGGGGGAAAGGAAGCAGAGGGGGGGGGGGCAGTGCCCCCCCTCTCTCGGCCCCACCCCACCCTGCCCCCGCACGAGCACACGTCCAGCTGCCACGCCAGCAGCTCGTGCAATGGCTCGGAGCTCACCGAATGGTTGTCTTATATAGCGGAGGCCGATATCACGATCAAAACATTGGATTGATACTTCCGCACCGAATTGCCTGTTTGCCTAGCGGTCGTTTTCGCCTCCAGCGAACTCGAACCCGTGAAGCATTTTGCGGACGGACAAACATACATACTTACATACAGACCGACAAACCGACACACAAAGTTTCTGCTTTATAGAATAGAAGGATATATGTAGAAATTACTGGATGACAAAGTCAACTAGAGCATAAAGTGAGCCAGAATTTACGCCACTAGATTCTGACTTCCAACCAAGCTGGAGGAATAGGGTTTTATCCACAATTTCCCTGCCATGTAGGATGTTGAAAGGCTTTCGCATTTTGTACTTTGTATCTTAACGATAATCGACCATCCTCTTTCCTTGGAACCAACAGCGAACGACTATTGCGTTGAATCACGCCTAAGCCATCGTGCGTCTGTAGCCTTATTGTAGGCACTACTGCACTTCCACTTTCCGCAAGATCTACTCGTCGTTGAATGAAGAGGCTCGCGTCTCGCGATGCTTCCCTGAGCCAGTGGAGCCCTCTATCATGTAGAGTCCATCATCAAGTCGCTCGCGGCGACGCTGGAAACTCCCCTCTGATTACGGGAGAGGCCGATCTGCTCACGAGCTCGGCAAAACTCCAGACTGACTGATCAGCTCGATCAGCCGACGGATCAACGGAGGATAGGGCGTGGGCCATAGTTCATGGTCTCATGAGGGAGTCACAAGTACCCGGGATATCACCCGGTGCTTCCGCTTTTACGACATGTCCTTAGGTACTTACATAATCTACGGCCCCATCTCAATCCCAGATGTTACTCATAAGTTTTCCGGACTCAAAAGATTATACAGCAGTAGGTAAAAAGCTCGGTCAAAATATGTGAAGAGGTTGTACCGAAATGACGGTGGATGATCCCTACGTGGTTGCGACTTCCCCGCCCCCTCCCCTTTAAAGCCATGGGTAATTTTGCTAGCGTTACCTTACTTCCCTTTCAGGTATTCTTTTCTGATCACTCTGACCTGCTCGAGCGTATTTCATAGCGAATCTTGATTTACGAAAATCCAGACTAAGTAAACCAATTTTTCGCCGACGACTATTTCTTCCGATGTTTTTAAGGTGGCCACCGATCCAAATAACGATGTGAAGAGGTTTGCTGTGATGGGAATTGGGTTCCTGTTGAGCAAGTGAGTTTCTTCTTTTCTTCACAGTAAATATTATACTTTCTAGCATCCTTGGTCTCAATCCAAGTGTTTTTCAGCAATCCCGCAATCTGTAAAGACTATGTAGGTATGCTTGTTGAACACTTCAATAGTCACGTACGATATGGAGCTGCAATGGCCCTGGGTATTGCCTGTGCTGGGACGGGATACAAGGTTAGAACAAGGATTCACTGTAATCTATAAGTGTATGTGTACGTAGTGCCACAGCTTATAGCACCTTCATTGATACGTCCTATTCAAGTTCTTCTTGTCCCTAACCGATTGCAGGAAGCAATATCCTTGCTAGAGCCCCTGCTTTCTGCAAAGGAAAACTACGTTCGACAAGGAGCTGTTATTGCACTTTCATTTATCTACGTGCAACAGACCGACGTCGGTTGCCCAAAGGTTTCTTTTCCAGTAAATTGGCACTCTACATCCTCAAGAGGTCTTTTGAAAGAACCTTTCTGCAGGTTGGTGAGTTC